GGTTTGGGGGCCACCAAGGTCTTGGGGTTGGGGCCGGTTGTCGGTGGTCTTTGAGGGCCACCAAGGTCTTGGGGATCTCTGGTCCTTGAGGGCCACCAAGGTCTTGGGTTTGGGGGCTGGTTATCATCGACGGTCTTTGGGGGCCACCAGGGTCTTGGGGTTTGAGGGCCACCAAGGTCTGGGGGGTTGGGGACGGTCATCGATGGTCTTTGAGGGCCACCAAGGTCTTGGGGTTGGCAACGGTCATCCTGGTCTTTGAGGGACAGCAAGGTCGTGGGGTTTGGGGGACACCAAAGTCATGGGGTTGGGGACAGTCATCAACAATCTTTGAGGGCCACCAAGGTCTTGGGCATAGGTACAGTCATCGATGATCTTTGAAGGACATCAAGATCTTGGATTTGGGGACATTCATTGATGGTCTTTCAGGGCCACCAAGGTCTTGGACTTGGGGACAGTCATCAAAGGTCTTTGAGGGACAGCAAGGTCGTGGGGATTGAGGGACACCAAGGTCATGGGTTGGGGACAGTGATCTTTGGTCTTTGAGGGACATCAAGGTCATGGGGTTGGGGACGGTCATCAACGGTCTTTGAGGGCCACCAAGGTCTTGGGGTTTGGAGGACACCGAAGTCTTGGGGTTGGGGACAGTCATCAACAATCTTTGAGGGCCACCAAGGTCTTGGACTTGGGGATGGTCGTCAACGGTCTTTGAGGGCCACCAAGGTCAGGGTTTTGGGGACGGTCATCAATGGTCTTTGAGGGGCACCAGGGTCTTGGGGTTTGATGGCCACCAAGGTCAGGGTTTTGGGGACGGTCATCGATGGTCTTTGAGGGCCACCAAGGTCATGGGGTTTGGGGGCCACCAAGGTCTTGAGGTTGGGGACGGTCATCGATGGTCTTTGAGGGCCACCAAGGTCATGGGGTTTGGGGGCCACCAAGGTCTTGAGGTTGGGGACGGTCATCGATGGTCTTTGAGGGCCACCAAGGTCATGGTGTTTGGGGGCCACCAAGGTCTTGAGGTTGGGGACGGTCATCGATGGTCTTTGAGGGCCACCAAGGTCTTGGGTTTGGGGGCCACCAAGGTCTTGGGGTTGGGGACGGTCATCGACAGTCTTTGAGTGACACCAAGGTCTTGGGGTTTGAGGGACACCAAAGTCTTGGGGTATGGGGACAATCATCGATGGTCTTTGAGGGCCACCAAGGTCTTGGGCTACCGGGATGGTCATCTCCAGTCCTTGGGGGACACTGAGGTCTTGGGCTTTGGGGACAATCGTCTCCAGCCCTTGGGGACATGCAGGTCTTGGGGTTTGGGGACAATCACCTCTGGTCCCGCGGGTGCGTCCTGCTCCCCAGCTCCGGTGACCATCGTCTCCTGTCCTCTGGGGCCGTCCAGCTCCTGGGCTTTGGGGACAACCATCTCCGGTCCCTCCTGCTCCCAACCGCCGGTGACAATTGTCCCCTCTCCTTGAGGGACACCCGGGTCTCGGTGTCCGGAGACGATGGTCTCTGATCCTCGGTGGACATCGAACTCTTGAGGTTTGGGGACAATCACGTCTGGTTGTCCGGGTCCGTCCTGCTCCCGAGTGACGGTGACGATTGTCCCCGGTCCTTGGGGGACATCTGACTCTCGGGGCTCGGGGACGGTCATCTCCAGTCCTTGGGGGACATCTGGGTCATGGGGTTTGGGGACTGTCACCTCCTGGCCGGGAGGGACACCGAGCTCCTGGGGTGTGGGGACAATTGTCTCTGGTCCCCCAGGTCCATCCTGCTCCAACGCTCCAGTGGTGGCCACCTCTGGTCCTTGAGGGCCACCTGGTTCTTGGGGCGCGGTGGTGGCCACCTCTTGTCCTTGAGGGCCACCTGGCTCTGGGGGTCTGGTGACAACCGCCTCTGGTCCTTGAGGGCCACCTGGTTCTTGGGGCGCGGTGGTGGCCACCTCTTGTCCTTGAGGGCCACCTGGCTCTGGGGGTCTGGTGACAGCCGTTCCTGGTCCTTGAGGGCCACCTGGTTCTTGGGGCGCGGTGGTGGCCACCTCTGGTCCTTGAGGGCCACCTGGTTCCTGGAGCACGGTGGTGGCCTCCTCTAGTCCTAGAGGGCCACCTGGTTCTTGGGGCGCGGTGGTGGCCAAC